AGCGCAGTTGTGTGCTTCAGATTTGATTCTTTTCCAAATACATCAATGGATCCATTCCTGACCCAAACATATTGTTCTAATAAGCTTTTGTCAGATTTATATTTACCCTTGAGAACTGGTATATTGCTCTTGGTTAGACCATTCGACTCTAGCATCTCCGTGTTTCTGGAAATAATCCACAGCTTTCTAAACTTACTACGTTCGTCGTCGGGGGTGGTAGAAGTTATTTTACTATCAAACGTTATATTTGGTAGCCTTCAGTCTTTTAGAACGACATCAAGCTCCTCTGATTCATCACCAGATCGCTTCTTCCCTAAACGCATTAAGGTCCTCGTTTGATTTTCTTCATCTCGCATTGAACCAACCTCATCAATTGATTGACTTTCACCTTCGTACCATATGTCGCGAATTTTGCTTTCCGTGGCTACCCAATCAAGCGAACCATAGGTTTTGAATTTCTTCCCTGTCCTTATCGTGATTAGAGATCTCTTTTCACCAAGGGTCTTCACCACCAGTTTTCTTTCGAATAGGTTGAATTCTAAGAGCAACCCAAATGGGATATTTTTTGTAGAAACCTTTGATCCATTCTCTTGACGACACTTGCTCCTCTGTGTCAATGTTATTAAAATTTGTTGTATTTGTTTCTGCATCTGTGGTTGATGGTTTTACATCAACATATGCATCTACCATTCGAGCGCTATTATCCACTCCAACATCCGATGTCGTGGGTTGAGCCTGGATGTTTCGGTCTGTTTTATCAATACGAAGTGAGTTGGTTGCATTTTCTGACATTCGCACTCCGTTATCTACTCCAGCATCTACCGTAACGGGGGAGATATTTTTAGGAGATGATACCTCAGGGTTTGTTTGCGAGTTTTCATCACTCAGTGTTTTTAAGGCCTCAGAAGACTCGGATGAGTCAGTCTGAGTTGATTCAGTTGATTGATTTCTTCGCCACAGTAGTGATACCATTCGAAATATCCGTGGCCCATGACGCTCCTTCGTACATGTCTCGCTTTGCATTTGCCTGTCTGACTCGTCTTTGCGCCCGTTCAAGTAGCTCCTGTCGCTTTTGCTCTCGTTCAGCGAGTGAAAGGAAATTAAGAAACATAGTGAATCGTTTATATCATTAGCGAACATAAAAAAGAGAGTTTATCTACCAATAGCTCGGCATCACTGAATCTTGTCTGAAAGAATTATGACTATGACAGATGTGATTTCTTCCATTTAGCAGGTTCAGGTAGCGATCTTTGATACAATGGAAAGGAACTCCAAATATTGTCTCCAATTCGCAGTGGTACTTACGGTTGACTATCGTCTTACGGAAATTTAAAGCTGCATCAAGATTCAGCAGCTCGTTTTTAATTCGACTCACTTCCTGGATGATCCACAGCTTCCGCCGTAGCTTAGCAAACTCACGCTCAGATTTCCTACGGCTGGGGCACATTCTTACGAAGGGTATCTATATATCAAGTCATATATTTCTAGAAAATCTAAAAAAAAACTTCAAGTAGTATGCTTGAGTCAAAAGCTTACAGAGGATGTCTCTGTCGATTTTATTTACAAGCTGTTTATGACTCATTTTTTTGTGCATTCCAGTACTCCTTTTCAAGAGTCGATCTCCTACTCTTGTTAACTAATCTGAGATTATCTTGTAGCTCCCAGGAATCAGGCTCATTACCAACCCACTGAACCAAGTATCTATACTTTAGTGCGGGCTTTACCCCACCCGGACCGCCCACGGCAGGTCTTCCATTTCGCATTTTTTTGTGGGCTACGATCTTCTCTGCTTCATGGATGTCGCCTCGATTGATTGTTGCGTTAGTAGTCTCCGATTGAACCGTTTTGAGATCATTTAGAGCCTTGTAAAGCGTATGTCCATTCTTAGATTTAATTTGGACGCGGTAGCCATCCATACCTACAATCGAATAGACAGCTTTACTCCACCTAGCAGCTTTTTTATCAGACGTTTTCTTCTTTTGTCGATATAGGACATTAGTGCCAAACTCGAGCTCATTATCGATTTTATCAGCTTCGACTTGGTTATGATTCAACTCAGCCTCAATCACTTTGCCTTTGGCTTCATTAGGTGTCATTTCGATGCGTGGTGATATTGTAATTAGAGATAACGTCGCTGATGAGCTTTTGTGTAATCCTCTTGAGAGACATTTTGGTTATTCTCTGTTTCAGTGTTCTATTGAAGCGCTCAATTTTTCCCATAGTACCGTGATCGCCGGGCTCATTGTTGTAGTGCTCGATCGTTTGGCTTTGAATAATTGCTGAGCTTTCGAGTTCATGAATTCAAACCCATTATCGCTTGTGATGATATCTACCTTGTAAGATCGGATGAAAGCCTTTAGCGCTACCAATACTGCGGCGGCTGTCTTATTCGATAAAAGTTTTGCGTACCCAACTCGGGAGTTAATGTTGATGCCAGTAAGAATTGGTTGTTTTCTCCAAAAAGCAAGGTCAGTTTGCCAAGAGTTTGGGTTGTGTGAGGTGATTTTGAACCCGTCGAATTGCTGCTTTTGCTCTTGAAACCTCTGAATATCTGATTGCGTAGCATACCAATCCTTCACATTTTTAAGCGTTATCTTCGGATCTAACTCGCGTGCCTTCTCGTGTAGAGCCTGAGCCCTGATACAACTGGTTTTCGGATCATAGTATTACTTTGACAGTAGCTGCCTCATGATTCTATGTTTTATAAGACAAAAAAATACCCCAGCGAGGTAGTCTCTTAAATATCAAGTGGTACTGTAGTAATACCATCTTCAAGCACACGCTGCTTGTCGTAAAAATACGATAGAGCTGTATTTGTCTGGTTCAGGAGAAAATCTGCTGCATATCAGCATGATCGCTTGCGCTTTGTTCAGTGTCCTCGACATTGTTGATTGGTAGTATCACTGCCCATGGAAGAGAGAAACATCTGTATCAATGCGGAAAGGTCACTAAGCTCATGCTCTAGGAGTTTTTCGCAGCCCACACAGTTAAGCTTACTGGTGGCGTGCAATCGTCTGGCGAAAGAATTGTTATGCCTCATCAAGCCTATCGCAACCCTTTTTTGATATCATGTTCTGCTTAAGAGAATGATATGGCGAAAAAAACTTGTGGATAGTGCTCGTATCAATAAGCTGGTCACCGATACAGACAAATGTGTCTTTGGTGACATCTGTGAGATGAAGTGTGAAAAAGCTTCGTAAATTCCCCGGTTCTGGCCCTTCCGATCCATATTCCATGTCGATTGGGACTTGGTGACCACCCCCGATGAATAGGGACAAATCGCAAAGTAGATGCTCTGTACAGATGACATTACATGTAAAAGTGGATAAGCACACATGTAAGCACGTGTGAAAAGTGTCAAACGTTTAAGCCATTGCCACACGCGTCGGCGTGTTTGGCCAGTCTAACGATTATAATTACCACCTTCCTTGTTGATATAGGACAGCTGTATTATTTCTTGTTGTTTTCAAGGCCTGTTTTCATTATGATTGATACCGACAAAATCGGTACTGCAAGTATTTCAATCGTTTAAATTAAGTGCATGTAGGTGGGAAATAGACCATTTTGCTTTCATCGACGAAAATTCTACTCTATAATCACAACATGTGACATGTGCAATATTAGAATTTGTAGGTGGACGGAGTTTAAGTCCATAGTTTTGAACTTTAATTATGATCTTTCAATAGTAGCGCCCAGAAATCGTAGCATTGTGGGTTGTAATTCATTTGAGCAAAATGGCTCATCTGCTGCTAGCGGCGCTACTATCACTGAACCAAACGGCTAACTTCAGCACATAACTTGCCGATAATAATTATTCAGGATCGAGACCCGCGTTTTACGGCAAAATGTTGGTAAACATTGCAAAAGGTCCTGAGCAGATGTCTATCACCCACCTTTCACATTAGATGGTGATACGAAATGTGAGAGTGGAGGATATCTTTCGCAGCGCTTGCGTAACGAGACCGTGGTGCTACAGCAAAATTCTTCCACTGGTTGAGGTTACGATGAAAAACACAGTTCATGCCTCTACCAGCGTTACCACACGTTTCATGAATGGATCGGTAACCACGGGGTTCTATTGTCACCACCACAAATTGGATTTGGTCTTATCTAGGGAGAGACTGTTAATACGTTTTGACTTGCTGATACACTTCGAAGCGGTCTTTTTAGTTTATCGTGATAAGATGGAGTGTGCACTGAGTGGCGACTCTTTAGCTGTGAACCAGGATGCATAAAAAACTTAACGATGCCAAAGATAGGCCAAACACACAGATTCTATAGTAAAAATGTTATTATCAAACGCTTTTGACTTAGTTGCGTCCACACAACATCGGAATGTCATGGTCGTAGCGAAAAGGAGTGGAATACACTCTAACCATCATGAAGCAAATTTGTACACACAATGTGAGCTGTGTGGTCTTTCTAAAGCCATACCAAGATTCCACTCTTACGAAGAGAACACCCTTTTGACGAACGAAAGTGTTTACACTATCCTTGGAGCTGATCTATCCCCTACTCTAGAGAAGCGAGATGGTACTGGACTATCGCGGTACTATCGGCCAACTCATTGCTATAACCTAGTCTAAAGAATGTATTAGGTAAATTTCTCATTCAAGCGTAGGCGGTACCCCCGAGGAGTGATGTCCTTCGGGAACAGAAAGTGCTTGCAATGAGACTTTTGGACGATCGGTTTGCTCTCTGTGTAAGCGGAGATCTGCACGCAAAGGCTGTTCGCTCTGGCGTGTTTAGCAACAGTCGATGAATAATACTGCGCACCACGGAGGAATGAGTTATGCAGGAGCTGCTGCAATTTTAGCGCTTGCAAGACGGGCGAGCTGGGATCTCAAATCCTCCAGATTCTAAATGACGAGCTAGTCATCGTCGTGAGTTCTGCAGCAGGGTGTCGCGATCCGTTTTACCGAAGACAACGGTCGAGAATTGTGTAGCTCTTGCAGAGGAGAAGCAATTTGTCAATTACGCTTCGTCATCAGTGAATGGCTCGACCGCTTGCTTTCGAGTGAGGGCGAAGTCAGGACTTACAGTGCCTCTGCGATCATTTCTATCGAAATGTCGCCTCATCAAGTATGGCGTTTTTTGTTTTTTTTTGTGTGAAGAAAACCTGTTCGAGATTAAAGGTGAAGAAAACGAGTTCGTTGAGTTATTAATGTGCCATATTTTCTGATTAAACTGTTGTTACGTTATGAAGGTTGACAAATGCAGGTATGTATGGATTAGTAGGCTACATGGTTATCATGTAGCTGTATGTGCGCTTTATTGCTAAATCGGTATTTACGAATTAGTAGGCTACATGATAACCATGATAACCATGTAGCCTACAAATTCATAAATACCGATTTAGCAATAAAGCGCACATACAGCTTAGCAGTTGTAAAATTAAAAATAGCTGAATTGTCAAATACAATCATGAGTCTTTTAGAGGCTTAATTGATATTCGCTTCGTCACTCAAAGATCAAGTAAGAGCTCCTGTCACAATACATATGTACTGTCTCTGTCGTGAGCCATCCAATATTCTTCAACCCTTGGTTGCTTTTCTCATTTTATTCTTCCTTTCCCCTTATTGCTGTAAGCAAAGGAAGCTCAAGGTTCTCAACGCATTTTTCCAACCAAGGCGCGGGTTGCTTCACGACAGAGTCGCTGGACAAGACGGCGCTTGAGATATCAGCTCACGAAACGCTCTTCAGTCAATCTGAAGGAAGCGCAGACGATTTGAAGACGCTTAGGCTGCTACCCACGGTTAGCATCAACGGAGGCGGCAGTGGTACTCTAAGCGGTGCAGCCGATGCCACGTTAGTTGGGACAAAAGAAGCTGCTCGAAATAACAAGTACACGCGTAAAAGCGTTAGTAATTTATTAACTGTGGACGCTTCTATAATGGGCAATTACGATCGTGACGCAATGCAAATGCCGTCTCGATTAGCAGATCAGCATCAAGTTCCACAGGTTACGACAACATCGCAATATTTACCACAAAGGATAAAAAAAGCTTCAGCATCTACTGGCATCGGAAACAGCAGTAACTTTATGAATACAGCTCCAAATCTCTATCATTGCTTGGAGCGCAGCAACAGTAATATTTATATAAGGTATCCGACTGATGGTATACCACGCTTGACTGGAAAACGACAACGCGCAAGTAATCGATTTAACAGCAGTAATAACAACACCAGCAACTTTTCGGCACCTCTCGGGATCCCGTTTCCGCTATTGGAGCTGGAACATCCTTTGCCTGATTACAACTCAAATTGGAATTCTCACATTGGAATTGCGTCCGGATCTTGTATAAATGCAAACAATGGCATGGTGCGGATGCTTAACAATAACAGTAGTATAGTCACTTTGCCAGGGACATCGTTACCGAGTGGAACGTTAATGTCCGCAGGTGTAGACTCGTATTTGACAGATTATGATTCGACACTTAATTCACTTTGGACGACTCCAGGTATTGCCATGGGATACGATGGTTTGAGCGAGACAATTCACGGACAATCTCAGGCGACTCATCCACCACTATACATGACACCGGATGATGAACTCAAATTGGATTGTCCGCAGTTTGCGGAATTTAGTCACGATTTGGAGTCATATTTATGTGGTGGGATTGAGTCTGGTGCATCGCCAACGACGCCACTTGGCTCATCAATGGATACTAGTACAATGAAAACGGATATCGCAAATGTTATGTTGAGAGAGCAACAGCTAGAACGGCTGCTGACTCCTGCAGCCGCGTCTGCAACCACTGGGTTTGTAGTCAGACGAGACTGCGATCCCACAGGACTCGATCGTACTTTAGCACGTCTGAATGCGCGATATCGGGGAGTTTGCGATGATGCGCATGCTGCATCACCGGTCCATAGCGGGACATTGATTGGTCTGAAAAATCTAACGACCAATTTAAAGCATGCAGGTGTACCATCACTAGAAACTCATCATACTGGGCAAACAAAACTGAATCCCGCTACAAGCAAAGCAGAGGTCTCATTCGAATCGGATGCATGTGCGACTCGTTCAGATCAAAATTTGTCGTCATTCACTGCCACTGCAGATAGTACAAGATCGAATAAACGTCCTCGTACTCGGCAATGTGAGTTTCCAGGCTGTCAAAACCGAGCTCGATCGCATCAAAAATGTAAGAAACATGGTGGAGCACACCAGTGTGTGTTTGAAGGGTGCACAAAGAATAGCCAGAGCCGCGGACTTTGCATAGCACATGGTGGTGGCTCTCGCTGTAAGAGAGAAGGTTGCGTGCGTGCAGCGCAGTCGAAGGGTTTGTGTAAATCTCACGGTGGAGGTGAGTTCTGTGCTGTCGAGTGCTGCAACAAGAAGGCGCATCTGAAACATTTGTGCCGTACTCACGGCGGTGGCGTCAGATGCAAGTATGAGAAGTGTTCCAAGTGGGCACAACGCAAAGGATGGTGCATGGCGCATGCAAAAGAATATGCGGCGACATGAGAAAGTCGGATCCATCTTTTGGTTGAAGGCAATTTTGAAGAAGGGCAGACGTAAGGCTCTCTTTGGCTTATTTTTATTGGAGAGGGTAGATGATGAATTTTATGGTCAGCATCTTAAAAAGCACCTACATCTATTCGACACATTTTTAGCAGACAAGGTATCGATTGCAAGTTTGTTGTCTTGGCTTATAAGGTTTCTAGCTGATAATAATTTCGCAATGAGAGCTCACAGCCATATGATGAGTGTACATATGATTAACACGTCAGTATAGATATTAGATACTTTAATTTGGCTGAATAAAATACAAACACACTAACTTTGAACGACTCGACAAAGTTTGGTTTTGGCCTGATTTCTTACATCGTGAACTAATATTTTTTTCTGTATTGTAGACAACAAAGTTCTTGCTTATAGATGATAACGACTGCTACTTGAAGTTTTACTTAGAAGACCTTATACCAGATTGCACCATCAAATGTCGTGAATCATGCGTTTGCTGCGGTTGACTGCGATTCCGATATTGGCTCGCTCGCATTCAGACTCAATTTCATGCACCTTTGTGTTGTTAATGTGACAAATCTGATTGCTTATCACACCAATCTTCGTATCGTCAATCTGGTGGCGTCGCCAAATGATGAATTAGTAGTAAAATCAGCTCATATACAAACAAATTGTGTTAGGTCTTTTGTGTAAAAGAGATCAAAACATTAGTGGTTGGTTGCTTATCGTTATATGACCTGATCATGTTGATCATCTATCGGTTTCATATCGTATCGACATGAAGAAAGATTGCCCTGAGATATTTTAACCTACAATTTTGAAGATGACAGAATTAATCGATTTGTTGCTAAAGCAAATATAAAGACTGACTCAGCAGCAGCGACTCGAACATCAGCTTCTTTCGGCGTCTCGTTGAGTGCAACCATAAATATAGTACTTTGTACAAAGGATGCCGGCGAGTGTACTGAGGATTTTGCAGCTCGAGAAGAAGTGCTCGAAAAATATGCACCACATTTTTCGAGTTTGAAAACTCGTCGACGAAGAACAAAGGAGGAATAGATGGTGTGCATTGCATTGTCTTAAGCGTACAAAGCAAACGGACTTCAGTACGCGACAGCGCTTGTCTACCGAGATTCTACCGACTGCTTTCAGAATTTGGACCCGATATCCGACTATGACTCGGTGCAGATGTCTGGGATTGCCACAATCATGTCGATTCGACACTTATGCTCCTAAGTTCATAATTATCAAGAGCTGCAAGTCTTTAGCATCGAAGCGGCTACGGTAGCATCATTAGCGCGGCATCGATATTATTTTGACCCGCTGTGCAACTCGTACAAAACAATATTGACGAATGCTAGTGATTGCTATGGACTAGGATCGCGGCTTTTGGTTTTATATCAGAGGCAAGACGTCATTGTAGTCGGTGCTACAATGAGGAAATGCAAGTGAGAAACACGTCCTCGAATGCATCATATTTATGTATCGGATGATGCATTCGAGGACGTGTTTCTCAATTGCATGCTCATTACAGTAAAATCTCTTTACTTGGCAACAATATCGTGCAAGATAGTGCATATGCGGCTGGAAACACTTGTTGTTTCATAATTGTTTCGTACGTGAGTGAACTCTTTTCATGTTTGAGAAATGGCGCCATATTTGGAGAGGTAAAATTAAAACGATGTGACTGACCTGATGGAAAGGATCTAAATAGAATTGCCAGCGACAACCACTGAAATAAAAAGCGTCAATTACAAACAGCACTTCATAATTTTCGTGTTCTCTGTCGCTAGCACTATTTTCTTTCGCTTTTTGCCAATGCTTAGGCTACCCGCTGGCTTTCACGCGTCTCTCTAATCAAAATCGTCGTTACATAATAGCGGGGATTCACCCACTGTCAATGTCTCCCTTAGCACTGGAGGAGACATCTCATTTTGACCATCCTACTGATATATGTCGGAGTTATAAAAACACCCGTAATATTCATGTAGCTTGCCAATTTTGCGGAGTTGACCCTCGCTTAAGGGGGTTAATACTCGGTTATGGTGTATGTACACATTACGGTTCCATATACGAGGACAAAAGGTGACACGTCTGCTGCCAACCTCAAGCAATGGATTAACAATCTAGATGGTAGAATATATATGGGATGTAAAGCCGTTTTCTGGTCGATTAATGTTTATGAACCGGCTGCGCGGTCGAGCAAGAGCCAACAGCAGAGTTGAAGATGCAAACCATCATTTATCAGTCCATTGCCATGAGTTCTACCGTATGATTGTTCTGTAAATGAAAGCATATGGTCTTTTGGAGAGCTTCGGCACGAAAAAACAAACGCCGCACTTTGTTGATGAAGAGCGAGAGGTTTTGGTTGTGTGCGTGAAAGACGAATGTATAACGATGCATATCGCATGGCAAGCAGATTATCCCGATCACAACCTAAATGATCTCGGGTTCTTTACTTCTCTTTAGTCCTGACAATACGAAAGAAAGGGTGACCACTTGAGCAATTCAGCAAAACCATAATCGAGTCGTCCAAACAGCCATTACCGATTTGAATGCGGGTTTTGGTTGTTTTAGCGTGATACTGACGTCTAATAAAGATTCATCGAGCGACGCACACCCATTTAAGGTTTGGTCTTAGTGCACGTCCGATATGTTGCAGCAGAGCGCACGGCTATTTCAGGACGACATGCGGAGGACCAAGCTAAGATTTGACCATTGCTACTTTGTGGGAAAATTGATTTTCATTAACTTTCGATTATTACTAAGCTCAATTCTTTTGCTAATGTAAGAAATAGTGTAAACATATAGGCTACGGTTCTCGTAGTTCTTACACTTTCCAGATAACTTTGTCGTAGTGTGTAA